ACATGCACTGTAACTAAACCCATTAGATTTTAGCCACCTAAATTTACTGTAGATTTAGTCGACTAAATTCTTATGATATTTAGTCGACTAAAACTAAAAACAATTCAGATGACTAAAATATGACTAAAACTAAATGGCATTTTAGTCAAAAGACTATGACTAAAACTAAATCAAAATTTGCTGTCAAAATTAACACTGGAGTACAATTACTTTACCTTGAGAGACTGATCCCACTGAACCACCAGCATCTTTCCTCCTACTTTGCTCTGACGGAACCCATGACTTGAGTGCAAATCCACCAGCTTTCAGAATCTCTTCAAGTCCATTTATTATCTCGTTCTGTCTCTCCTGGTCATTGAGGGATGTAAAGATATCATCCACATAACTGTCCTTCTCAAGGACTCTGTGCTCCTCTCTTAAATTAGCAAACTTTGTTAGTCTATACATGGAGGTTCTCCTATAGGTTACTGAAAGACTACCTCACCCATCACTGTTTGAGAACTACAGCAAACTTTGGTGGCTCAAAATGCACAGCATGTTTAGTTGTTGTTGTTTTTCTCATGGTGACTGTCCCTGCAATAAATCACCTTCCAGAAGGCACCTTGAAGGGAGAGTAATCAAGCTAGTCATGCTGTAAGATTGCGTCAAACTGAATTTCCAATAAAAATGACTTGACAATCATCATTTCTGAGCACCACATGTTTCAGCCCAAAGCTCTCACATTGGGTGGTAATGTCTGATTACAATTCGACTGATTCAAAAGAACTGATCCAATGGGCCAAGCCACTTATTATTATTAAATTTTCTATGAATATATATATATATATATATATATATATATATAACAAAACTTATATAACAAAAAAATGACTATATTGTATGAGGTCACAAGTGTACAGGCATAGATGAAGGGAGTGCGTTATAACATTTTTGGTATGGTATCAATTTTATGGTGCATCTTGTAACCTTTTTCACGCCTGCTATGTTTGCAGCCCTAAAAGGTAAACTGCTGGGAATTTTCGATTAGGCCAGCACTACGTGTTAAGTTTAAGCTAGATGGCAAATTTGAAGGTTAAATCATAGTCAAATGTGCCTGTTACCCAATTTGATTGATTGATGAATTGAATGTCGATTAATTAAATTAAATTAACCAAATTAGCAAGTTAACGGCACATAAGTTACAGCATAGCATTATTGGTTATGTTCTGCACTGGTGTTGAGAGAGTTTTATACCTGTTTACTGTTAACTTAATAACATGGGGACCAGGGGGGGCCTGGTGTCGTTGCAGACATCCTGGCACCCAGTTTATTGGGTGAGGGGACTGTGACGATTTGTTAATCTAATGAATAACTGATTTGTTAAATCAAATGAAAAATTGTGTGTTTGATTGGTCCAGACGCTACACTTGAAATCGTCGCAACTCTACAAAATTCCATCCAAACTTCACAGTTAGGATGCTTAAACTTTGTTGATTGGCTCTAATGAAAACATACTATATATTCTATTAAATTATGTTAAATATATTACTTAATTTTAATTAATATTACATTGAGTATATTTTAAAATAAAAAAATCAAAACAAGTCTATCTGAACAATTCTATGCAGTTAGCATGTTTATTTTTTGAGCTGTAAAGAATCTTAATCTTGCAGCTACTATTCAAGGCATGTAAGCACCTGGTTACATGTTGCTGATGTTTTTTGCGGGTGGAATTTATTACCTTAAAGAAATACAGTTTCTATGTATGTGTTGTGTCTGCGATCTTGCATATAAACTATTTGAATGTTTGAACTCTAAATAAGTTATCATTCAGGTAGGATTAGGGTAAAGATGGTGGATTTTAAAATAACAGATGGTATAATTGTAATGTCACAGCTTCAAGATCGCCAGCACTTTGTGGAGAATGACGAAATGTACAGCCTACAGGATCTGATTGACACCTCCAGAGGACGTCTCAGCTGTTCCCTCACTGAAATTCACACAACTTTTGCCAAACATATTAAACTGGACTGTGAGGTAGGTTTGTGGGCATAGAGTATAGAAATGCAGATAATGAAGAAAAAAACATACACAAACCCTGAACTGATTTATCAAAATGAAAGACGTGTAAGTGATAAAGTCTTAAAGTAGAAAGGTTGTTTCTACAGTGTGTGTGTGTATATACTGTATATATAGACACAGTGGGTATAGAAAAGAATCACCCCTTTAAAATAATCACATTTTGTTGCTTTGCAGCCTGGAATGAAGCTGTATTTGAGTATTCCAGCTGTATTTACTCAGTGCAACTTGTAACATCCAAGTGAAATAAATAACACCAACATGTCAGAAAAAATAAATAAATAAAAAAACAGAATCACTGAGTTGGGAAAAGGATCACCTCCCTCCTAAAAAATGACTTGTAAACTCAAATCACACACACAAAGCCATTTGACTTTCAACTGTGATCAGCTTGGTCATTTTGATTAGCTCAGCATGAAAAGAGCTTTCCTGGAGCTTTTCAGTCCTTGGTAGTGCAACTGAATCAAACAATCAACTATGGGTGGCAAGGCACTGTCAAAAGATCTCCGGGGTAAAGTTGTGTACAGGCACTAGTCAGGATATGGATACAAAAAAAATTCAAAGGCTTTATCAATTCCTAGAAGCACAGTGAAATCTATTATTAAGAAGTGGAAGGTATTTGGTACAACACAGACCCTCCCTGGATCCAAACTGGATGAAAGAGCCAGGAGAAAACTGGTCAGAGAGGCTACCAAGAGGCCTACAGCAACTCTGAAGCAGTTGCAGGAATTTATGAAAAAGAGTGGCCATTGTGTTCATGTGACAACAATATCACTAATTCTCCACAAATGTGGCTTATATGGGAGGGTTGCAAGAAAAAAGCCACTCCTCAAGAAAGGCCATATGCAGTCATGACTGAGCTTTACCAAAACGCAATTTGATTCTGAGGCCGCATGGAAAAGTTATGTTATGGTCAGAGGAGACTAAAATTTAATTATTTGGCCTCAACCCCAAACGATATGTCTGGCGGAAAACCAATACAGCTCACCATCCAAATAACACGATCCAATAACATTCTTACAGTAAAGCATGGAGGTGGTAATCAGAGGCGTCATGCCCATTCAAAGTGAGATTCAGATTTCTGAGCCAAGTGCATTTTGAATGCAGCTTCCAAAAGACAAAAATAGCCGAATAATATTTTTATATTTGATACAATCGCACCGGTGTGATTAGATCGTTCAGTGCGGCACAGCATCAGCTGCTAAATTCAAATCTGTGTTCGCTGGCTGGTGCTGAGCCAGAGACAGACGCGCTTTTACAGTGCTGCGCATTATAACCAATCACACACGATTCTGTTGAGCTTATGAATGCAATGGCCAATCAGAGACGTTCAGATAAGTCATCGCTGAAACGCAGTGTTTTGCTCTTATCAGAAACAACAAAGTGCAGATGTGCGTACGAATATAAGATATTCATTTCACAGTGTAAACAGCTTCAGTGATTTTAATGGGAGTTTTTGAGAGTGCCTCTGGCTAGACTGAATGAAAATGTTATTTGATAATGTAAATGTTCTTTGCCCTCTGTAAAATGAAAGTGTTATAATACCAAATACACAAAATAATGATCTTTAAAAAAGCATCATATGACCCCTTTAAATTCACATTAAATACAAAGTCAGTCGTATTAAAACATTTTATGGCATGACACCCTAGGCTATCTGGTACTTAAGTAAAAAGTCGGGTTTTTATGTGTAGTTAATAGATTACACAGTCAGTCTACTTTGCCCATCACCATTGATCAAATGACATAATCTATAAAGGTGCAAAACGCATTTACTTACACATATTTGAGAATCGAGATATTTCCAGATATAGGCTAGTTAACACGTTTGGAAATATTTCGAATAAAAAGAAAAATAAATAAATAAAACATAAGCCTAAATCAGTTATACAGTGCTATCGTGGCTGCTGTGTGTCACATGACAAGCATGACCCCCCCCCCCAAAATAGATGGAGCAAAATACAGAGAAGAGTGAGAAGGTTTACCTTCCAACATGACAATGACACAAAGCTCACAGCAAAACTGACTAGACAGTGGTTGAAGGAGAAAAAGGTAAATGTCCTTATATGGCCAAGTCAGAGCCCAGACTTAAACCCCATTGCAAATCTGTGGAATGACTTGAAGACTGCATTCCACAAATGGTCACCATCAAATTTAACTGAACATGAGCAGTTCTGCAAAGTCTTGATGTGCAAAGTTAGTAGAGACATATCCCAATTAAAGCTGTAATTAAAGCAAAGGTGGTTCAACAAAATACTGACACAAAGGTACAATCCTTTTTCCAACTCAGTGAATCTGTTTTTTTTTTTTTTAGTGCTTTCAAACGATTAATCGCATCCAAAATAAAAGTGTTTATTTACATAATATGTTATATATTATGCATATATTATATTATGCATATATATATTAATATTATGCATATATAAATACACAAACGTACATGTATATATTAAAAAAAATATTTACATGTATGTATATATATATATATATATATATATATATATAC